AGCTGGACGCCGCCTCCCGCTTCCAGGAGTCGCTGGTGTGCTACCAGGAGGGCATCGACCTGCTGCTGCAGGTGGTGAAAGGTACCGCGCGGGGCAGGCCCCCTCAGGGGCCCTGAGGGGTGAGGGGGAGGCGAAACCTGCGGTTTTACTGGAGTGTGACCGCTGGGAAGAGCTCGGCTTCTGTGTGTTTCCCCTCGAGGAGAGCTTGCTTAAGTGAAGAGGCTGAAGCACAGAGCTTACGAGGAGAGGCTGAGGAAGTGGGCGTTATTTAGTGTGAAGAAGAGGAGACTCGAGGGGAGACCTTACCGCTCTCTACAACTACCTGAAAGGAGGCTGTAGTGAGGTGGGGGTCGGTCTCCAGAATAACAAGAGGAAATGGCCTCAAGTTGCACCAGGGGAGGTTCAAGTTAGACATTAGGAAGAATTTCTACACGGAAGGAGTGGTGAAGCATTGGAACACGCTGCCCAGAGAAGTGTTGGAGTCACCGTCCCACACAGCGTTCCAGAAACATGTAGGATGAGGCACCTAGGGACGTGGTTTAGCAGGCAGGGTGTTAAGAGCTTACGGTTGGACTCGATGATCTTGAAGGTCTTTTCCCACCATAATGATTCTATGATTTTAAATGCTTTTTTTCCCCCAGCTATAAAAGATGAGGTGAAAAAGCAGCATTACCGGCAGAAAATATCTGAGTACATGACCCGAGCTGAAGACATTAAAAAATATATTGAAAAAGAGAAGCAAGGTATGCAGCTGTGACTTACCTGTTTGGATTTATGTTCTTGTCTGTACGTAAGTGCTTTATGTGCAAGATAGTTGACACTGGAATTATGTAGTGATGTTTACTGAGAAAGACACTTTTTTTTTTTAGATGGCAAATACCATAAGCAAATCAAGATAGATGAAAATGCAACAGGTTTCAGCTATGAAAACCTTTTTCGAGAATACCTTAATGAGATTGTTACTGAAGTTTGGGTGGAGGACCCTTACATTAGGCATGTTCATCAGGCAAGTAGTTACAGGATGCAACTTACAGCTGTAACTGCTAACAAAATTCCTAACAAAAGTTACTGAATAAAATGTAACTTTTACAGTTGTATAACTTCCTACGGTTCTGTGAGATGCTAGTTAAGGGACCCTGCAAAGTGAAAACAATTCACCTCCTCACTTCCTGTGACGAAGTAAGTGTCTAATTTTTTTTATTTCCCCGAGGCCCAGGAGATGCTGTGCATATACATATATATATATAGTATGGATATATATATATGCATACACACACACACAGAACATGCACGTGTATTTCTATGCACACACACATTTTTATGTACCAGTATTTGATACACTGAGGTTCTGATGTCCTGACACAGATGGAGAATTATGAGATAATTGAACATAAATCATTTTTAAAATCTAGATGGTTTTACTAACTCTTTAACAGATTCCTTTTAAGAATGCTAAATGGAAAAGGATTTTAAGAATGCTAAATGGAAAAGATGCTTTTGTGAAAGTATTGCAAAAATGTCATCAAAACCAACACATCTATTGAGTTGCATTCATTCTCCCACCAGCTGTATACACCTGTCATTTACAGGCTTTCATGAGTTAAAAGATTTCATTCTGTCACCGTGTTTATTTTGATTCAAAAGAAACCTGTATCTACTTCAGGGGGACTGGGAGTAAGCAGTTCCTCTGGGCCCCTTTGTAAGTGGACTTGTAATTTGTCTGCTCTTTATCATGGCCCCAGAAACGTAGATCTGTCCTCATCCAATCGACTCTTGGGGCTTAAATTATTATTAAAAAGATTTTATGGGTGAGTTATGGAAGAAGTGACCATATATAGTGAAAGTAGAAATTTTGGTAAAAGGGAAAAACATAATTATTTTTACTTTTAACAGGGCAGTGGAAAAGCTCAACAGATAAGTGGTTTGGAAGAAATAAAACAATCATTGAGGAACCATGGAGTAACACTGAACATCTCTTTTTCATCTTCAATTCATGATCGAGAAATTAGGTGGGTGATGCAAATATCAGTGGATATCAGTTATGGAAATCAAGCTATTTATCCCTAACATTTTTTTGCAGTTTGTAATAATAGTTGAAGTTCACAAAGTGGAAGGCGGTGGCCGTCCCTGAATAAAGTCAGCCCAGCATCGTGTTGTACAGTCTGTGAACCTGCCATAATATTGGGTGTCTATTTCAGAACAGTGTGTTGCATGTTTCATACAGGTAACAGCTGCAGCTGCAATAGGAAATAATTCTGATTAAAACAAGGAGCTTGTTTGTCTTGTGGTACCACTTTTCTGTTTAATGTATTTGTGATTTTAAGATTTGCGAAGGTGAGCTAATGTGCATTTTTTTTTAAAATAGATTCAACAGTGGCTGGATGATCAAGATTGGAAGGGGACTTGATTATTTTAAGAAACCAAAGGTAAGAATGTTCTGACTTCGTTAATTCACTTAAACTGCGAAATAGCTCGTTTGGGGTTATCCATATTAATGCTGTTAATTTCTGTAGGGTCGTTTCAGCATTGGATACTGTGACTTCGACTTGCGACCTTGTCATGAAACAACAGTGGACGTCTTTCATACTAAGCACACAAAGAAGACATGATCATTACTTTTAGTAGTGTTTTTAGTAAATTAAAGATACAAGACTGTAAGGAACTACTTGAACCCACTTTCCACCATCAGAGGCAACTCCCTAATACCTACTTAGTCCTGCACTGACTGACCAGAGAGCTTTTATAATGTGTGTTTTTAAGAATGTTTGAGCCTTTTCCAGACTGAGAAATTACAAGAGCTTGTGGGGAAGGAGTTTTATAACTGATCCTTAATACAGTCTCTGAAAAGCCTTTCTTACTATTATTTCTATTTTTACTATTAATTTTTACTTCTGCATTTTTTTCTTAATTTCTTTAATTAATCACCTCATGAACATATGAGATTGGGCTGTAACTTCAGCCCCTGTTTCATAACTGGCCTTTTTATTTCCTTTAATTCCTGGATTTTAATCATCACTACAGTTCTCCTCTGTTTTGGTTGATCCTGTAATACCGAAATTCGCACCCTACCAGGAATCCTAATTCTGACGCTGATTTGTCCAAGCTCTTTGCATACAAACATGTAGTGTTCAATATACAGGCAGGTTAGGGTCTTTTTCTGCATCTCTGAGTCTTTCTGGCTGGAGAGAGTGCAAACTACTCCTTTTTCTACTTTTTTTCCCCTTTTTCCCTCTTGTTCTCGTATGTTTGTTCCCTACTAAAATGTCATCACCTGATTTGCATCCTTCACATCAAGCATGGAGAGGTTATTTGAGCCTCTACCCATCTTTTTCTCTGACTTCTGACTAATCATGCCAGTCTCAATTGCAATAAGCTATTTGCTATAAGATAGCCCCTTTAAAAACATTTTTAAATTAAAATTAATAGTTGTGGGGTTTTTTTTTTAATCCAGGAGGCAGATACCCTGAAACTTACTTCTCAAAAAAGATCATAAACTAAATGCCAATTAAAAATCAAAAAGTTTTTCTTGTGTTCCCTCATCGCCTGGAAACAGCAAGGTGTCACCTAAATTGCCACCTTTCTTACCTGATACAAGGTTTCTTCATCGCTGTCAGTAAGAATTGGGCAAAGTGGTATATTCTGACGTGGAAAACAGGCAGTAACATCTCATCCAGGTATTTCAGCCTCAGGTCTGATAAGTGCCTTATGCTTTCTGCAGCTTGTAATAACAGTATGCCTATCTGTCCTCATAAAAAGCCCCCGTGATGTGCTCTCGTACCTGGTGTTCCCTCTCTTGCTTGTTCATCGCCAGACCTGTGCATGTCTTCTGTGCTTCCCTGCGCTGATGGCTGGTGAAATCTCTGACCTGTTCCTCCTGGGCTTGCTTTATTCCTCCTTCAGCTCCCATGGGCTGATGCTGCTGCTGTTTTAGGGTTACTTCTAACACAAATCTGTTCCATAGCTATGAAGAAGCAGAGCTGGTCTTTGCCTTGTTCTGCAGGGCACAGTTTGCTAGTGGTCTGCCATCTTTATCCATCTACATAATAATGTCTCAGCTTTCCAGTCTTAGGTCTTCTTTTCCTCCTCCATAATATTCAGACCTCTATTTGAAGGACCTAAGTGTTTTAATTTCCAGTCCACTGATATCTTCTATAGAGGTTTTATCAGGCAACATTTTATTAACATTTTCCATGAGCAATTTCCTGTGCAAAGCCTCTAGCTGGCTATTTCTTCTGTTAATGCCATGCTTGCAGTTTTCCTTATTATTGCTGTATGTTCAATATCCTTACTAAGGTAAGGGGAGAGAGAACAAAACAAAAAAATACTGTATGTTCCACAGAACTTGTTTGCTACCAGTCTCTCCCTCTAAACATTCCAGAGAAACTCCTCAGTTTTCCAGTCATTGTCATGAGTGTTATTCAGTTGTGTATAATATATGCCTATTTTTTAATGTGAATAAAGGCTATTTTTATTGTTTGTAGTTTTAGTCGTCTGTTTACTTTGCTGTGCTACACAGGGCAACACATAGAAGCTGGGTACTGCATCACAGATTAACCGTTTGTGGGAGAAGGTTCACTGTATATACAGAGAGAGTGAACCTCCCAGATGTGAAGCTTTAAGTGTTGTTAGTCCAGCAATTTCAAGCATACAGGGGCTAAATAAAAAGTCATCTTAAATATTCTACATCAATTTTAAATTTTAGTACTTAAATGAAAATATACTGTATTTTACTGTAGTTCAGTTACATAACTAGGGCTACTCATTTCTTTGCAGTATCTGTGCCTGTGTACAGACAAACTTTCAGTGAGGAACTAGCTGGAACTGCACTACAGTTTTTAAGCCTTTGAATGTGCCTTTCATTATTAGTAGGAGCGGAGTGTGGTGAGAGAAATGGACATTAGTGAGAACATTCTGCATTTTATCAGAGCAATCTAAGGGTACAGTCTCATAATTAGTTTACTAATTTCAGGCCATGTTCTGCTGTGCTGCCACTCACGCTTACATGGTCAGGTGGTCACTTGGAGGAACAGGCAGCCAGCGCTGTGCCCTGTGGCACGGTCATGTGTGGAGGTCACCTAAAACTACCCAGCTGGAGCCAGCTGAGTGTCATTCATTACCCCACTGACTGATCTACTTAGCTAAGGATAAGTTGCTTCTACCATGTAGTTTCTATTGGGAGCTGGTCAGCCAGCAATCTTTTAAAGATGACTGTGAAATAAATCTTAAGGCTTTCCTTCATGTTGCTATTATATATATATATATAAATCTAAAGCCTTTAAGCCTTCCAGTAGCAAATGATCTCCTAGGAGTAACACAAGGAAGCTGTCTCCCCAGCTCTGCGATGCCATTTGCTAATGTAGAACAGGCCTTGCCACTTTTAGCTTGGATACAAGTAGCTATGGCAGCTTTGTGCCAGGCAGGTACAAAGGAGCTTCCTCTGCCCTCATCATATAACCCACACGCTGCAACTCCTCGGATCCCCTCTCTTTTGCATGGGCATGGGCAAAGCCCTTACCCTGGGAAGGGCCTAGAGGGAGGTGACAGGAATACTGCAGGAAAGGACATTAGGTCAGAAAGGAAGGGAACCACCACCCTCTCCACCCAGTTAATAAGGGTTCGTGCCAGGAGCTGGGACAAGGCCTTTGAGTTACTTCTCTACAGAGAGGGGGGATGCAGGCTAAGAATCCAGTGCAGTCGTACAGTGGCAGGTTTCCCTCTGCCCCATCTTGTCTCCGTCGGTCATTTGTTACTTTCTTTGCTATACAGAATCTATTTGTTACTGGATTAAACAACATTAGTGATTAACAAATGGGAGAGCCCAATGAATGTTTTAATTTTGTTTGCAATAAATTAGATGAAAAAGCAGCAGAGATTTGACTTTCAAGCAAAAGTCACATTAACATCCTCATGTTCTCACATAAAAGATTCCACTTGTTGCGCAACTCGTCGTTTGGGGGACACGTTCTCAGCACAGTGCTTGCTAGCACAGTGACTTCATCTGGGCAAAACCTGGAGCCAGTGAGGCTCTTTGCCAGCTCCTGGCACAGTCCTGGAGGCAGCCAGTGCTCTGGTGCATTGATGTTACAGACTTCTATTCTTCCATGCTTTACCTCCATATCCACTTTAACCTCAAGAACAGAATCCTCATAGGCCATGTCAAAATACGTGCTAATACTAAACTTTGGTGTCTTTCCATACACCCATTCCCAGGTTTGCAGTTCTTTAGTCTTATTATTGATTCCGGGCAACACAGCCTCATCAGCAGGGTTTATTAAGGTGACGTGATGATCTATTTGGTGCTGCGTAGCATATTCTTCAGCAATGGCCTCCAGGAGCAGCTCACAAGTTAAAGCAGGATCCTCTTCCAAGAGGTTTCTCACCGAGGAAGGCACGCTGGCAGTGGCATTGCTTTTGAGCCCTTTATAAGGGCTTTTCAGCACTGAAGACAACACAGATTTATCTGTGCCACACAGCAAGGTACAGTGGTGATAAGCAGTTGTCCTGCCCAGCTTAGCAGCGGTCCCGGAGATCTTGTAACGCCCGCCCAGCACGATGTCGTACCTGTCTGTAACGTTCACATCCATCTGCGGGCGCAGGGCCTTCAGCACCCTCACAACCAACTTCAGATTGTCCATGCGTTCATATTTTTTCCTGGTTGTGAAGAACGTCAAATTGATATTCCCTAGGTCGTGGTAGACTGTCCCCCCGCCGCTTCTCCTCCTGGCCAGTTTTATGCCTTTCTGCCGCATGAGCCTGAGGTTGCCTTCCTG